TTGCTAAGGCAATCCAACAGCAAGAAACGTATGTACAAGTAACGCAGAGGGTTCACACGCCCCTACAGACAATTGTAGGTAAGAATGGGGTAACTGAGGCACAAGACACTGGAGACGCAGCAGCGGGTTTGGCTGTTTAAAATATGAGCCCTGTGTAATAAGTTCGAGTCCAATCCAGTCTCAACGTTCACTTCTTCAGAAAAGTTATGAAAGGCCAATGTCAACTCTGATAACTTAAAAGCAACCCAGTGATGCTGTGGTAATCAGTGAGGTACTTAAACGTGTCCAAATCAAACAAAAGAAAGTTATATCTAAACTGCACTTCATTGTCTCCTCTTACAGCAGCATCCATGTTCATAATACTTTAGAATTTTTACTTTGGGTATGCTTGTAATAATGATTTCTGCTTTCTTATATAGAAAATGTATGTATGTAGAAAAAGAGGGGAAAAAAAAAAGTTGATTTTTTTTTTATTCAGGCTATGGATAAGACTACAAAAATCTTTATAAATTGTTTGAAAAAATTTGTAAAATGTAACTTTTGATGATTACTACCTTTTCATCTGCCTAACACAAACGTTCATACACTGATCTATAAATTTACTAGTCTAGAAAGAACATAGTTACCATGCATCATAAACCTTCATATTGAATCTCAAATATTCAACAGCCTGAAGCATTTCTCACTTCTTGTCTTATGTGTTACATAACTCACGAGGTAGTTTTTTTTTACATATCTGAATCATCACTGTAAAGGTAACAGAGTGAAATGAGGAAAGAACAGTGGGATAGATTGATCCATCACAAAAGTACCCTCGAATCTTGCTAAGTTAGACTAAAAAAAATTATAAAAATTATTTTCCAGTTTACGCAATAAGTTGTATCTTTTGCTGCTATCAAATTAAAAGCTTTTTTTTTTTACCAATCTTATATATCCTGAACTTCCAATAGGAAAGATAAGGAACTAAGTTTTATATAACTTGGTTGTACCTGGTATCACTTGGAGGGTTAAGCTGAAACAGACAACAATAGTTGCATCTACCTGATTTTTAAATTTCTATAATAAAAACAGTATTAATATATTCCAATTACGGACACAAAAATTACATAAATCATTTGAATGTTGCACACAATCTGGGTATACAATACATAGAGCTTCTCCTACAATTAATTGATTTTTGTTATACAAAAACCAGTTTTTCAAAAGATAATTTTGTCTGGTTTCTTTAAGTCAAACTTTTACAAAGATTACGAGTATTTTAGTATGTTTAATTATGTCTCTGCAAACAGAAGTATTGTTTTTTTTCTGTTGTTTCTTCTTCTTCCAAACACTTTGAAACTGTCATTCCTCAGATGCTTGACTTAGAAGACCAAAATACCCTTTTTTAATTTTTTTTCTTTTATTTCGGCCTTTTTAAGGATTTTAAAGGGTCAAAGGTCAAACAACCCAAAACGTGTATGTTTCTGGCTCCTATACAGTCATATTTATAGTAATCAAGATGAAGATTGGCACAAATATAAATTTTAGTGCACCCATCACATTGATATACAAAAAAAAGTTGGATTTACCCATTTTGAATCTTCTTTAGGGGGGGGGGGTCATAGCTCAGAAAAAAAGAGCATAAATTTGGGGGTTTTGGTCAATAACTCAGCCACATTTTGACCAATTTAAATGGGATTTGGTGCAAAGATACATTTCTATAGACCCTACACATTGACAAACAAAAATGGTGGCCTTGCTCATTTTTAATAATTATAGGGGTGGGGTCAAGATGCCACAAAAAAGCACTATTTTAGTGTTATTTCACAATTACACGGCCGTATTTTGGTCTGTTTACATGGGATTTAGTATAAAGATACTTTTTTACAGATTTCATACATATACATATAAATATGCGGAATATGCCCTTTTTTATTTTTTTTTGTGGGGGAGTCATATGGTTAAATACACCCATAACTTTAAGAGTTTTAATCAGTTACTCAGCCTTGTTTTGATCAACTTACATGGAATTTGATACAAAGATACCCATTGCAGGTCCCAAACAGAGATATCAACAATTCTGAAATTTTAATTTTTATACCAAAGTTTTTAGTGAGGAAAGTTCAATCTTGGATTTTTGTGAGATATTCATGTGTATGCCAACTAACTTATATGGGATTTGGTACAAAGATACCTTCTTGCAGGTCCCAAGCAGTGATACAGACAGTTTTCAATTTTTCTGGTGTCAAATTTGACCATGTTGGGATTGTGTGATGGAGATACGTTGCATTAAACCGCGAATGTTGGCCTCTTTAATTACTAAAAAGTCATTATTACTTGTTCTCCAACTACTTAACCACTGAGTACAGTTGCTCTAAACACACATGGAGTTTTTGTAAGCCGTACACCATATATGGCACACTTGTATTCAACTGCCAAAGACGGACCACACCCTATATGGCAAATCAGCAGTTAACGAGTTAAGTAAAATTTTGAAAATTCAATTTTAAACTATAAATGTAAACAACAACATTTGTAGTATCTCACCAAAACAAAATAAAACTGAATTTATAAGACAGTTAAAAATTATATTGTAAAATGTTATTAGTTCCATGCCAATATATATATATATTTTACACATGTGTGTTACAGGACTGTACCATGTGTTAGCTATCCCCATTAATTAATATGTAATTTTTTTGGGTATATTTTCAGTTCAGTTTGGATGCAGAGAGGTGCTCTAACTGCACAAAGGAACTCAAATCTGCTAATTGGTCATTAACCATGTTCTCTTGCAGGGAAGATAGCTGTTACTTCGCTGTGATGTCTTGAGACAGCCAGTTGTCTTTTCTGTCAGTAAATAGGATAATGGTATGGGGCTTCCACACCCCTGCATTCATACTCATATGGCTATAGGACAAATGTATGAGGACAAATTTTCTAGCAAAACCTTAAATCTATCAAACATTTGTGAGCATTCATTTTATCATTTGTTTCGCACAAGAGTAAGGTTTAACTTTTGTCTACCATTTATGCTTTTTTATTTAGTTTAACTTTTTTTTAGTGGAGCCTATGGACAGTGGGGGGGGTTCACACTGGACTGGGAGAGAGACACATTAACTGTTCTTACACCAAACTCTCATTGGTATAAGATGTCAACAAAGACATTTACCCTCACACTGTTTTCTATCAGTGTATTGTGTTTGAACTTCATTTGCATTTGTCTAAATAAGGATAGATGTTATATGTTTTGTACTGAACCTTTCTTTGTTGATGGACTTAGTTGGAGTCCAGAAAGTAAACAGACTAATACTCCATAACATTATAGCCATCAAACATCCTGTTTAGTGTCTCTACTCTTGCCCTGTGGGAAATCTGTAAGCCGGAATATGTCATAAGATGTGTATGTGTTTAAACATGTATTTGTACTAGACTTATCCTGAAACTTAATAAGAATATTGACATGCTCAACAAGTTGTTGCTTTCATCACATATTTCTAACAGAATCCTGACAGCAACTATTGCTTTAAACTTTTAATACAATTTACAGCAACTATAAATATTACAACTAGTGAAATAGTATTTGTAGAATATTACTTAGAGAATTTGCCCTTAAGCAATTTTGCCCCTTCTGGAGATTTTTTTTAAAGTGTGGACTAACTTTTCATTAATACTGGATATGTTCTTAAAGGATGTTATATGCACAATATCAAGTGATTTAAACCAATATTAACACCTGTATAAGCTGTGTAAATATAGTATTCTTAGAAATGTTTCATCACAACGTGAAATTTTCTCAACATTAATAAAAGTCTCTATAAATGTACTTTAGGCTAAACAGTTTGGTTATCATATTCATTTTTAATACTATAAAGACCTTACCAAATATGCACACTGCCCTTTCTCTCCTCCAAATGTTCATGTGCAGTCATTTTAATAATACATTTATTTTTTTAGTTTTATTCTTCCATATTTCATAGACAGGTTAAAAATTAATATATATTTTAACATATAAGTTATCATTTCTTCAATATGAACTAAACAAAAATGGTTCAAAACAACTGTCAATGGGGGGCACATATCTTGAAGCAAATAAATTGCTATAATAAATATACAAAAATTACATTATGTATTTATTACTTTTGTGTTTTTTTCTGTTTAGGAAATTAAATGATAACCACAGTAACCTAATCGTTCTTTTCTAGCCTGCCTAGTTCTTAAAGATAATATATGAACCAGGTTAGGAAACAAAAATATTAAAACACCTATTGGTTATCACATTTCTAATAAAACATTTAAAATAAGTCAAGTTAATAATGCAACTAGGATTTTACCCAAAATACATAGTCTGTAAATGCCTTAAAATTACTTATTGTATGCAATACTGATAAGTTGCTTACACACAGTTGAATAATCTTATGATACTAAATAATAGCATACTATGACAAGTATGTTAAAAATAAACCATGAATGTTGACTTTGCACTTTCAAATGTACAGTAAAAAATATATACATATTTCACTAGAACCATTTATTAGACAGCTTGGCTATATATTATGTTAAGATTGAACTCTGAAGGTCTTGCCATAATTAGTATTCACCAATGACGATAGGTTAAACTGAAACAGAATTCACTTATAATTTATATAAAAAATAAATTACCTAGTAATAGTAAATTATTTCCATGCACGTCAAATTAAAATAATAATGGACAATTAACTGTGATGGTATGTCATGCAAACAACTCCAGTATTCTAGGTTATTAGCGGCGAATAAAAGACTATACTGTATTATGTATATATTATATATATCCACACCGAACTATTAACGTTAGTATTAGTATAGTAAAAATGAAATGGCCTACTTCTCTAGTCTTATTGTTAGTAGTATTAGTATTACAGCACAAACATTTTTAATTATTATTTAACTGTAATTGATCTAACATCACCAGACTCTACACTACAGTTATGTATTTAACTTTAATGATAATCTATAAGATAATTATTCTTGAATTTGCCTACCAAAATACGCAGTTGACAGAAATTAATGCCGCTGCACTGTAATACGGTCGTTCCCATATAAGAAGGCTTTGTAGTAAAACTACATACGATTCAAATGGACTTAAAAAATTGGCCAATGCATTTCCTTCAATATGTTTCTTCCGTGATACATCTTCTGCTTCAGCATTGAAATATTTAAAAGGGTTTAATTTGCTCACTCTTCTCACCTCTCGCCACAAAAACGCCATTATAGTTTACCCCATTTGTTTTGGTCTCTTAGTGACGTAATAAAATCAGTCATGTGGGCGTTTTGTAAACTACGCACGCTCAAAATCCCCATCTTTTCAAAAATAGAATAATTATGAACGAAAATCATCTGCGCTTTTCAAAAGAAATACTGCATTGGATTGTAGATAATATATGATACAAATTACTTTGATAAAATTTTAAAAATATACCCACGCATAATTATAATTGTTTTTTTTATTATTTTATTTTATAGAAAGTGTGTATTTACTAACAAGAAAATGTACTTACCTACTATATACAAATCTCTATGAGGTAAAGTCTATCAACAGTATTAATCAATTCTTAAAATACCCATTCGTCAACTTAAGACTGATCTAATAGTGAGAGAGCGTTTTTAACGACGTTGCTAAAGTAAATACAGTCGACACAACATGAAGTTGGAAAGAACTCTGGGTATGGGCTATTTTTAACATGTTTATTTGCTTCAATTTGGGCAAGTTTAAAACGTACTCAAACGTTCACTTAGTGCGTAAGGGAAGTTCAACGTTGGATATAATAATGTAAAATTAATCAGTGCGCATGCAGAAATGAACAGCAAGGTACTGTTCTGTATTAAAATAAAGAAGGGCCAGGCTTTGCCTTGTGGTTAAAGTGTCGATCTATTGATCCAACGATTCGTTCCGCAGAAAAACACGCTGCGCACTTTGAAGCTGTAAGGGTATTATAAGAGTAACAGTCAAACCCCACTATTCAGTTAATTTGTTGTTAACAACAAGGCTACACAATGGTCTATTTGTGCTCTATCCACGGCGAGTATCGAGCCAGATTTTTAGTGTCATAATCTCTAAGATTTACCGCTGAACCTCTAGAAGGCCTATTCGGTAAGAGTAGCCAAAAAGTTGTCAGTCAGTGCTTTTAACTAGTTGCCTTCCCTCCTGTCTACCTGGCATGGCCAGGTGGTTAAGGCACTCGACTCGCAATCTGAGGGTCGCGGGTTCGAATCCCCGTCCCACCAAACATGCTCGCCCTTTCAGCCGTGGAGGCGTCATAATGTGACGTCAATCCCACTATTCGTTGGTAAAAGAGTAGCCCAAGAGTTGGCGGTGGGTGGTGATGATTAGCTGCCTTCCCTCTAGTCTTACACTGCTAAATTAGGGACGGCTAGCGCAGATAGCCCTCGTTATGCTTTGTGCGAAATTCAAAACAAACAAACTCTTCTGTCTATCAAATTCGGTGACGAGGAACCCACTTTGAGACTAATAATGGCTGGAGACGGCTTGAATATAAGTTTAACATAACAGCAAATGTACAACGTTTCGACAAGGTTTTGTCATCTATCAGCTCAAAATTAGGGAGGGCAAGCGCAGCCTTGTGTAGCTTTACGTGAATATCCGAAACAAACATACACACAACAAATATAAAATTTCACAGGATGAAATAAGTGTTATCATAGGAAGATAAGACTGCTAGCTATATTTCATTCCTGAAAACAATATGTGCAAGATAAAACAAAAGCTTTTACCCTAGTTTCATTGCAGCGTATATAGCAATGTGACGCAAAACGTGTATAATAATGGTTGGAGACGGCTTGAATGTGTAGTGAAGAAAAACTTTAATATAAGTTTAACATAACAGCAAATGTACGACGTTTCGACAAGGTTTTGTCATCATCAGGTACAAGAAGTTTACACTGACACAGATATATATATATATATACAGTATGGAAACAAAGAGGTCACATGACCGGATATTGTTGCAAGACTTAGAAGAGATATCTTGGCACCCCAGGGTGTTGGTTAAGAGTAGAGTTGTTTTGTTCAATTAAGACGGATTCCTTGATTTTTCGTTTGTTTATGTTTGGTTTTTTGTTTAAAATTACT